GGAAATGGGGTAAAGGAAGAAGAATAGGAAAAGTTCGACCATTTTGCGAGCTCTCTTTTTATAGGTGAAATTCCTCCCTTCCTACACCACTGTTTATATTTCATTAGTAGGCAAAATGGTAGTGACGTTTTTACGTAACCATTGCTTTTATACGCTAGCAAAATAGTGTGTCTTATAAATGGTTCCTTAAATGTATTCTACTAAGAAATTTGTTTCTATAATTTCTCGCAATAGCTCCAATTAACCTTAAATCGATAAAATTTGTGTGTGAATTTCATCCAAGTCTACCTACCTTCATTTTTCATTTAATGTAATTTGCAATAAACTTTTCTTATATTGAAGTCTCTCCGTTAAAACAAATGAGAAATTAAATTATTTAGTGGATATTTTTTTTCAGATTGCTAGTTTACCATAGCCGATGCTCCTAGCACAGGTGGGCATTTGGAGCTTCAGATGTTCTTATTTTTTTTTTCAAATCTAGGCCACCCGCGTGTGTGTAGGTAAAAGAGCATTTATGAACATTGGCTTTGTGGTAACTGCTGGAAATCACCTAATCTAATCGATACACTAAAATCTGGTTCTTTTCCTGAGTGTTCAGAAATTGCAAAACTGCTTTTCTGAGAAAACTGAGTCACGCTCGTCTTATAATTTAATAAAAACTGCGATTTTTTAAGAGCAGTGGCTGAAATTGTTTAATTTCTTGTCAAAGTCAGAAATTTCCCCAATTTCTTCAAATGTTTTTATTCGTTACTGCTTTATTTGGAAGTTTAATTTCAGACAGTTTTCGATCGTCTGTGCCATAAAATTCATTTGATTTATTATTATGACCCATCTAAGGACAAAATGGAAGGTAGTGGAGTCAATAATTTAGTTACACAGAGAGGAAATTCTCATTTCCAACAGATTTTAGTTCAACTATAACCAGACTCTTAAAGTCATGCATTTATTTTCTAGAACCAGTTAGTTTTACGCAATAACAATAACAGAACTGCCTGTCTCATTTTCGTTATCTCTAGCTTTCCCATCTTCTAAGCTCTTAACCGAGGTGTCTAGACACCCTAGTCCCGTTATTTTTACCATAATAAAGTGAATGTCTCCTAAACCTAATTTCCTCTCTAACCTAATGGTTTAGAGAAAGGAACTTAGTTACCATATTTTGACATTCGTCAAGTTACAGATGTGAGCTGTCTAGTAGCAGTTATTAATTATTTTGTATGACTTGTAGTCAAAATGTGCGATTACTTCTTACTTTAAAAAGAAAACACCCAATTAAAGAAAATGGTATTTGAGAAAACATGACAAAATTTTATTTTTTTTCCTTGCACCAAGTGCATTTCGAAACAGGTGGTAATTTTTTATGTTTATGGATAACAGCTGAGCCTAGGCTCGAGGTTGTGTATGGGAAAACATACCTACCTCCATCCAGAATGACTCAGGAAGGCAATCATGTGGCAATGACACACCATAGGTACTAGAAATCAAATGAAAGAATGCACTTTATTTGTTTATCTTAAAGGGAACCGTGTTGGTCTCTCGTATTTTTCCCCAACGTTGACATTTAGGAAAGTTTGTATTGTTCTACATTTTATTTAATTCAAACTAGTGACTTCGCAAACCTTACGATGAAAGTGTTTTTGTTGCCCAATCTTTAAATTGTTTCAATACTAGTGCACAGTCTAATTTAAGATTGTTTGTGGAAACGCCATCTAAAACTGTGACATCTATTAAGATTTCAGTCATTGTTATGGGCAGCTGAATTTTAACCAAAAGCCTCGTTCAATGTCGAGACAAAGGTTTCATGAAATTCCAAAAATAGTCGGTACCCCTATTGGTGTATACCTCTATTTACAATCTGCTTAATTAAATAACTAGTGACTTCAAAGTAATCCATTTGGGATAACAGTCGAATATTATATTAAAATTTCCTTTTTCGCTACATTATGGACACATGGAAGGGTTTTCAATTTCTTCCAAATTTGTAGATATTTTCCTGATTTTATGGGTTGTGTTTCTGAATGCACAGCAAAGTATAGGAAATAAATAAGCTGGAAGTACGATGATGCAAGGTAAATAAATCTATGATGTGTTATTTTGCACTTTCCACCTTATCAGAAAGTAAAAATTTCCCTGATTTGTTTAATATGACTTCATTTCAAATTCGAATTTGATTTTGACTTCCTCTGCAACAACAACAAAAAATTGCAGTGGTTCGTTTTCTAACTTCTGCAAACTTGAAACAAACAGCTGTTTGTTTCAAGTTTTTATATATCTCTGCTATTATTTAACATCTGCCTTCATTTTGGCTAATATTTTTGTGTCCGTTTATTGATATTTTCTCGGGTAATTTCAGCTCTTATTTCGTTATGCAGGACTACCCATTTGAATACTATTGATTTTAGCATTATTATCGCCGAAATATTTAGTCACAAAGCAGCTATATAAAAAATTCTTTCATTTTAGCTATTTTATCGCAGTGAATGAAGTATTTTTTTGTCTATCGCACTTTTAAAGACGATAACCTATTAAGTCAAAAGTTATGAAGATATATCCATCCTATAGTACAGAGTGATTATGGTTGCCTTCATTTAATCATTTCTAGGCATATTTGAAGACCAAAATAAAGCTGATTCTGGTTACAAATCAGACCACACTCGACTTTTCTGCGACCCTCCATCCAACCCAGGTGACGCCGGTCGACAGAATCTTATAACTCCACCTTTACCTCCGCCAATCGTTTTTGACTATGAGAAGAATTCTTTGCCGCCGCAAAAATTATCACGAACATCTTTACCAGAATCTCCTACTGATAACGAGCCAAATTCAGTAGGCATACCTATTCGGGGAACCAACAATCCTGTAGTGGAAAGGGTAATTCACCACTTGTGATTTTCAGAATAAAGTTACTAATAAGATTGGTGGGAATGTCTTGTTCCAGTTAAAACTATTTAAAAGTAGATTTGAGTCTTTGGTTTACAACTAAATACGCTCAGAAGTAAAAGCAGATCATCGTAATCTGTTTCTGATTCAATTTAAGCTTGACATTGAGGATGAGTTTCAGTAAGCTAGTTTTCTAATCAACATCCTATTTTGTAACCTTTAACACTATCAGTTTCGAAAACTAAGCAATGTGTTCAACTTGATCGTTGTCATCGCAAAACACAATAAATAAAATATTTTTTATTCCAGTGTTCCTGATGTGTTTCTTATGATAATAGTGACGCGCATTGGTATCGTACCCTCATGAATGCATTGACATATATTTTACATAGTTTAAACCAAAATGCTTTAGAAATGTGAAATTCAAAGAATTCGTCCCATGTCATAAAGCTAGCAGAAGATAACTTTTCATTGATTGCTTGCGATCATATTAGGTTTGCTGACCTGGAACTAGCTTAGATACTACAAGGACTTGGCTTGTCATAGTTTTCAAAAGTGTTCACAGTCTACTACTATCAAAGCTCTTAAGCGGCATGGTAGCTAATTAGGTTCAGTTAGCCATGTCAACAATGTTATGAAAAAGGTATGAGTTATAAAATAGATTGTTTTAATAAATTAATACCTTAATGCGCACTCTAATTTATTCTCCAAATATATTGAAAATATTTCAGTTGTCGGAAGTTCTTTCAAGGCGGAGAGCTCATTTACGGAGCAGTTGGGATTATGAAAAGAACAATTAT